TCCGGGAGCCAGGCCCCGGCAGGTACCGTACTCCCGCGGGGGCTGCCTTCCCCTCGCAGTCGGCTCCCTCCGGCTCTCCTTTCTTCTTCTCTCTTCTCTCATTCCCTTCTTTCCTTCCACACTTAGTTTTGCAGAGGATTACAGGAAAGTTATGTCCCAGGAACATCGTGCAGCACAGCTCCATGGACCATTTGCTTCTAGACAGAAGTGCCAACTATCTGTCTGTCTGTCCGTCTGTCTATCTATCTGTCTATCTTAATGTAAAGCTAATCTCTAAAACCAAAATAACTCTTCCCTACCGGTGTTCATCTCTCAAACCATCTCCTTCAGACTCACAGAAGGATCAGGCTGCTGAAAGTTGTTTTCCTTAAGCTAAACAAGAGAGTTCTTTGCCTACAAATAATGGATTTGGGGGTTTTTTTTGGTAGGACACACAGTGTATGTCTTTTCCTTTCATGTCTTAAGCTATGTGTGCATGCACATTTATTCATGTTTTCGCAGCTTTCCAAAGGGCACAAAGCCATTCCTCTGAATCCTTGTGCAATACCTGAGTTAAGGGATGCATGTAGAATTATACATAAAATACCTGAATGGGATCCTAGATTCATTCAGTCTGTTACCGTGTCCAAAGACAAAGTCAACTCCTGCTGTGTTTCCTGATGGAAGTAAAATCTGTCTCTGCAATTTGATTTTCCCCTCCCTTGCACAAGAGAAAAAAAATAATGCCTTGGAAAAAAAAGTGCTTTTAAGAGACTTATGAAGACTTTTTTTTTCTTCTTTTTTAAACTGGAATGAAATAATAAAATCAACTTGGTAGTAACTGGGTAATATGTGTCAGGTTCCCAAAACAGCTCTTCAGGGAGTATATTCAAACTGAACACCTCACATTTTGCTATTTAATGCACTGTTGAGCAGAAATGTCTCTTTTGTAGAAATGATGTGCTTTTGGGTTGTCTGTTTTTCATAAACCAGCAGTACAAATCCATACCTTGGTGGTATAAACTTAAGTTCATGGTATTATCAATGTCAGGTCAGGATATCAGGACAGCTTTATATGCAGCAAGAAATTTTAGAAGCTAGAAATATTTGTGTAAATGTCCATTTTTACATGTAAGATTTCTTCATAAATAAGAAGTTAATTTTTTTTCTCTGCTTTATAAGCCTTTAAGCAGTAACAACTTCCAAAGAAGCTTTTATCACAGCATCATTTGCATCTTTCTCCTGCTGGCCTTTATTTCTTCTTGTCGTGTACTTTGGATTGTGAATTACAAACACGAAATAATTCCTATTCAGCAATCTATATTTTTGCTATCCTAAAAATTTTGTTAGGATCTGTTCACTATGTAATCTAGCCAGTTGTTTTATCATTTTATTTCTGTAGCTTATAAAATGGAATTCAGGGTTTATACTGATAAAAATTAAAAGTTAGTATATTTATATATCATTGCTACACTTCTCTGTTGGCTGTTACATGTGAACTACAATGTTTTGTTTCAAGGATAGTCAGAAATTTTGTGGGGTTACATGTGGACCTGTCTTTTAATGCTCTGAAGTGTTGAATTATCTATAATTTGTCAGAATTAATATTTAAGAATTTCTGACGTGTTGCCCACTATAATTTTAAGCATCTTGCGCTGAAGAATCACGAGTGCCCACATTTATCTGGCGGGAGTAGCTTGCCAGGACAGCTCTCACTGCCCCAGGGTGATTGCTCCATCCTGTGTAGGAGCTGACTGAGGTGTTTTCCTTCCTTCTCGACAGACACCGCCTGCAAGAACCGGCCCTTGGACCTCGTCTTCATCATCGACAGTTCCCGCAGCGTCCGACCTGAAGAGTTTGAGAAGGTGAAGATCTTCTTGTCAGAAATGATTGATACTCTGGATGTTGGTGAAAGAACAACCCGCGTGGCGGTCATGAATTATGCCAGCACTGTCAAGGTAGAGTTCCCCCTCCGGACCTACTTTGATAAAGCATCAATGAAGGAGGCCGTGTCTCACATCCAGCCCTTGTCTGCGGGCACAATGACCGGCCTTGCCATCCAAACGGCCATGGATGAAGTCTTCACGGAGGACATGGGCACCCGGCCGGCCACCTTCAGTATCCCCAAGGTGGTCATTGTTGTGACCGATGGACGGCCACAAGACCAGGTTCAAGATGTGGCAGCGAGCGCCCGGACAGCTGGCATTGAGATCTACGCAGTTGGGGTAGGCCGGGCAGACATGCAGTCCCTGAGGATAATGGCCAGCGAACCACTGGATGAACACGTCTTTTATGTGGAGACCTATGGTGTGATTGAAAAGCTGACATCCAAATTCAGAGAGACTTTCTGTGGTAAGGTGGTCAGTCCAAGAGGGTAGTGTAATTTGGCTCCTTTTGGCTCCCACTGTGGTTCTGCTCCCTAAGAAAGAAGTTTTTCTTTTAGAGAAGTGTTATTTATCACATTTAAATATTTTTTTGCCAGCCATTGGGCGAACAAGCCAACCCTTTTATTCAGTGGAGGCCAAGTAATGACCTTTTATTTTGAATAGTGGCCTTACCATGTAAGTAGCAGACCTGATTTCAGTGGACCTCCTTGTGCAGTTGTCCAATTTAATGCAAGAGAAAGCATAGCAATCTGGCCAAGTATTTTATTTTATTTTATTTTATTTTAT